TATCTACTCCAAGAAAGGAGAGAGATTTGTACCTGTAATTTATGTGTTTTTTTGTTATGTTAATAGACAATTTAAAACGAAATTATATCTACTCCAAGAAAGGAGAGAGATTTGTACCTGTAATTTATGTGTTTTTTTGTTATGTTAATAGACAATTTAAAACGAAATTATATCTACTCCAAGAAAGGAGAGAGATTTGTACCTGTAATTTATGTGTTTTTTTAGCTGTAGTTGTTTTTAAGAGGACTCTAAGACAATATTTTCGTTAAGCTGCTTATAAACTACTCTTTTGATTCTAAGGATTTTTTTATCATACATTCATACCCAGATCATAATTCTTAGGTATCTTTTTAGCTATATATGTAAACATTGCATAGTATAGAAATTCTGCAGGATTGCATCGTCGATATTATACATCTCCATTCATCACATTAATACTGCGAAAGGTAGTCGAATTCTTAATATTTTGCTTACACGATTTAACGCACTGAAACAATCTTAATTTGAACAAAAATTGCAATAAATGTATTATTGGCTCTTTTTGATGAACGGACAAACCCGTTATTTCGGCTAATTTATCAATTCCTTCTTCTTTCATTGTTGCATATGTCTTCAGTCTGTTTGCATGAATTAATGGAGATGCCATATATACGTCAACGAGGAAGCAATCCAACAACAACAACAAAATTTATATAGAAGGCTGTGTTTACAGTCTTTAATAGGTGTCAGCACAATATGTTATAATAGTTGTTGAACAAGCAAATCGGTATATGTCATTTAATCTGCACGACTCGAATGACGTAGGATTTTGGGTGAAAAGGTCATCCCGACCGTGCAGATTAAATAACATATACCGAACGGATTTGATTAGCCAATAACTGTTTTAACAAAATGATGCCATGACTGATTTACATGCACGTTTTGGAAATATACGGACGATATTCAGTACGCGGCTCCTTGGAAAGTTCTCTTGTAGGGTAAAGAAAGGGGAAACTACGCCTTTAAGTAGTAAAAGTTTGGTAACTTTTATTTTGTTTATATGAAGGTTTTCTCCTAAATTGTTACATTATTTGGAGAATTGCGTTTAATGGCAGATCTTTGGTTGTTTTTGTTGAATTCATTCACCATTTCTTTATAGATTTGGGACGATTTAGACCTTGATATATTGTGTAGACACCTGTCCATTGTTAAAAGCTATAGTTTGGCCTCTAGATGTCCTTATGTTGTTTTTGTTGTTTGATTTCTGTCTTGTTGACGTATAACCCAAATTTCCTTTATTTCATGCAGTTTAAGTTCTGTTTAATGTACTTTTTTTCTAAATCGGTTTATAACAAATCATCTGTATTCGGCAATTTATATTAAAGACATGTTGCATCTCTATGATTGGAAAAGATAACTTCTTTTAGAATAAAATCTTCATTTTCTCCTTCCATTTAATGGAATTAAGTCCCTTTGATAATCCAGAATCCGCCCCTAAAGGTTAAAATACATTTGAACTGTGTAGTATATCTGAGGTAGTTAATGCACACCTTAGCTGTGCAGCATTATCAAGTCGCCACATTCTATTTCAGCTCCATAGCTTTCGTAATCTGTGCATCAGAGAATCAGTTACATGTAACTGCATTAATATAAGTTTTTACAAATAAACTGAACATAAATTTTAAAAAAATCACTTAAAGTCGAAAACTTCTTAAAAGTTAGAGTTAAAGGAAAGTTATAACAGGAAATTGTCAATTTTGACACACAATTTGTCAAAACATCGTTACTTTTTGAGCATTTTCCATGTCAGATTTTCACTATTTAAATGTACTAACGTTTCCAATTTAGTGGATACTTATTTGCCTTCTGACTTCACATTTCCTGTAAATCATGGTGGCCATATTGGATGATGACACAAATATAATTCACAAACTAAATTATAACTTTAATTATCTTCATGATCGTTTGGGTACACATATTTTTTTATTCTATGTACCCTGAAGAACATTCACACTAAGAATGATTAAGTTTGGCCTTAACATCTTTTTTTAAGCTTTATATTCGACGGACGACAACATATGTAAAGCAACAACGGACAGAATGTGATTGATTGTTGTTTACTTAAGGTCTTCAATGTAATTGGATATATTGGACGAATGGATATAGTGTTCGAATATTTAATGTTATAGTTCATGTACAATGCGCTGACACGTATGTCGGTCCGTTCTTTAAGAACACGAAGAAAGTATATATCTTTGAACAAAAAAAGAAGAATGTACTTTAACTAAAATTTGTATGGTAAATATGTTTCATAGAAACAACATTCTTCCTGATCACGTAAAGAAAAAAAGAAAACACAAATGTTTTAGGTTACACCTTTTTGAAATACGCTTGTGATTAATATCAACATTAATTAGAATAGAATGAATAAAAATCTATGCAATTACTTTCGTTAGAACGTTTTTATTATATATCCTGTGTCTATTTGACTCCGATTTATATTGCGACTGTTTAAATTGCATTTCATATTGTTCGGGGACATTTGGAACGTGTTGGCTAACTGACATTTTGTTTTAAATGAAACAAAACACATGTAAGTCCTGAAAAGTTTTCAGAAAGCTTCAGTGCATGTCATGGAGGGTACCTCCTGTTACAAATCTGTTAGATACTTTATTCTCTAAAACCAATTAACAAAGGTAGAAAGAAGGAAACATAATAATTTAACATACAATGATTAAGGTGATACATGGAGTAAATTTATACAAAAATAGAAATCAAATAACACAAAAATAGAAAAATAGAAGAAAAAAAAAAAACACAAACAACAATCACGAAACAAAAAGAAATCCAGAAAAATAAAATAGAAATAGATTCTAAACAAAAATTTCCATTAGCCAGAGGGACTTCCTGTTTCATTTATTACTCTGATAAATTTACAGTCTGTTTAAAGTTGAAATCTTTTTCATATTAAACAGAGAGTGAAATTTAGCGGTGTTTGGTCTTCTGTAATAATATGATGGAATGAGATTTGTCCTTTCGATTTCTATGGTAGGGCATGTCATGATGTAATGATATTCGTCGCCTATTTCTTGTATATTACAGATATTACATTTTCTTTCTGATCTGTCATAATTATACCAACATCCACTTTTTAAAGGTAATGAGTGGTTTACAGTTCGAACTTTACACAATGTTATAATGTCGTGATCTCCCAGAATATCAAAGTAAATAAATCTTCAAATCCAAATCTTCTTTGACAATCCCTGTAGTTTAGTCATTCAAGTCGGGGAGCTCTGAATATCTGTATACCATATTTGTTAATACTGATCAGTGAGTGTTTGTTTAATGTTCAATGTAAGCCACTTATGTTCATTCTGAAGGTGGAAAGAATATTAAGTCAAGTCCGCATTCGTTGAGAATTTTTAATCTTGTATTGCAAAAGCATAGACATGCTATGTCAAAATTAACAACATATATTACATATTATCACATATTTTGTACTGATATGTACTTTTTTGCATGGCCAATAATAGCCGGAAGTCAAGGTTGGTTATCAGCCCTCGGGGCTGATATCGATATCAGCCCTCGAAAACCCATATCGTGCCCCCGAGTTTGACTTCCGGTACCCGCAATCAAATACTATTTGTAAACAAGATGGCAACTGAAGCAGACAATGAGAGGTTTCTCACAGTTTCGAATGATGATACCAGTAATTTCATTGAAAAAATGAAAAATGATAACACAAAGAGAACAAGAGTGCACACGCTGAAATGTCTCGCCTCATTTACTTATCATTGATATTATGTTGATAGTCCTAAATATAAAGCTTTATTACAACTGTCACATAAACCTAACATTAACCAAGTAAACTAAACATTGACCAATGAACCATGAAAATGAGGTCAAGGTCAGATGAACCATGCTAGGCAGGCATGTACAGCTAACAATTCTTCCATACTACAAATATAGTTGACCTATTGCTTATAGTTTAAGAAAAACAGACCAAAACACAAAAACTTAACACTGAGCAATGAACCTTGAAAATGAGGTCAAGGTCAAATAAAACCTGCGTGACTGACATATGGATCATAAAATATTTCCATACACCAAATATAGATGAACTATTGCATATAGTATTAGAAAAAAAGACCAAAACTCAAAAACTTAACTTTGACCACTGAACCATGAAAATGAGGTCAAGGTCAGATGACACCTGCCAGCTAGACATGTATACCTTACAACCATTCCATACACTAAATACAGTAGACCTATTGCATACAGTATAAGAAAAACAGACCAAAACACAAAAACTTAACTCTAACCACTGAACCATGTAAATAAGGTCAAGGTCAGATGACACCTGCCAGTTGGACATGTACACCTTACAGTCCTTCCATACACCGAATATACTAGACCTATTGCTTATAGTATTTGAGATATGGACTTGACCACCAAAACTTAACCTTGTTCACTGATCCATGAAATGAGGTCAAGGTCAAGTGAAAACTATCTGACGGGCACGAGGACCTTGCAAGGTACACACATACCAAATATAGTTATCCTATTACTTATAATAAGAGCAAATTTAACATTACAAACAATCTTAACTTTTTTTTCAAGTAGTCACTGAACCATTAAAATGAGGTCAAGGACATTGGACATGTGACTGACGGAAACTTCGTAACATGAGGCATCCATATACAAAGTATGAAGTATCCAGATCTTCCACCGTCTAAAATATAAAGCTTTTAAGAAGTTAGCTAACGCCGCCGCCGCCGCCGTATCACTATCCCTATGTCGAGCTTTCTGCGACAAAAGTCAAAGTCGCAGGCTCGACAAAAACTAAAAGTGACGTAAAATTATTAACTGAATGGTTAAAGGAGAACAACGAATTACGGGTAGTAGAGGATATATCTGTACCTGAACTCAATCAGTACTTAGCCAGATTTTACTTGTCTCGGAAAAATGAGGAGTATGAGCCGGACAGCCTGAAATTAATTCAGTCATCGACTAATAGGCACTTGATGGAAAAGAATGATATAAATATTCTTAAAGATAAGGAATTTCACCACAGTAGAGAGGTGTTATCCGCGAAAAGAAAGCACTTGAAGTCACAGGGACTTGGAAACAAAAAGCTGAAAGCAGATCCATTCTCATCCACTGAAATAGATATGTTATTTGAACAGAATCTCCTAGGAACAGGTAGGTTTATGCAATATTATCCTGTGACTGTGCATGTACATATTAAAAATGATAATGATATCAGCTTCAAAAATATATCTTTAAGTTTAAACCAGCTAAAAAGATTATAAAGAAAACCATTTGCAAAGTTTGTTAATAAGCCATGCCAGGCAACATCAACATAGTTTGTCATACATGTTTCAAGACAGTGAACTGGTATAATTTTTGGAAAATGTGCTTCAGTCTTCTATATAGTGTCATTATTGAATGTAAACAATTTCTAGTGTACCTTTTTAATTATCCTAATCTTAACTCTCAATTCTTACTTTTAGGCACCCCTGAGGCACTACTTAATACCATATGGTTAAACAATACTTTGAACTGTGGTATGAGGGGAAGGAAGGAGCATATTGACATGTTTTTTGGAGACATAAAAATGATGACAACAGCGAGTGGTGAACAATATTTGGAGTACAATGAAAGGCTGACCAAAACCAGGACAGGAAACAGTGACAGCAGAGCATTTGCACCTAAAATGTTTGCAACACCAGGTAACTTTCTTTCAATTTATTAAATATTAATATAAAATTGACAGTAAATGATAAATACAGGAACCACCACACAAGTGTGCCTACTCAATTCATTCATACATATATAACTTCATGTACTTTTAAAAAGAATACTTACAAGAAAAAAAAAACACAAAATATCCTAGAATATCTAGCCACCCGCGTCAAAGAAAACGGAATCATGAACAAAATGGAAAGAATAAAAATATATCACTTAAGCTAATTCATCTTAAAATAAATTTAAAAAATGTAAATATTGTTTTAATGTAATATGATATCAAGATACATGTCCTTGATTTTTTTTCTTTTTCTTATAATAGGTAATCCACGCTGTCCAGTCAATGCTTTCAAACAATATATTCGCCGCCGCCCTGAAGATGCTCTGACTCCAGACAGTCGCTTTTATCTAAGTATAAAACGGATAATACAACCTGATGCCATTGAAAATGCTAAACAAACATGGTTTATCATGCAGCCATTGGGAAAAAATACTCTAGGAGATTTAGCAAAAAAAATGTCTATGAAAGGTGGTCTTATAGGAAGAAAAGTTAACCATAGTGTTCGCAAGACTACAGTTTCCTCACTTCTTCACTCCAATGTAGAGGCTACTACAGTCATGCAGTTGACAGGCCATAAGAATGTTGCTTCAGTCAATGAGTATAGTTCAGCATCCTTACAGCAACAGCAAACTATGTCTAATATTTTATCTGATATTGGTCCAGGAAGCCGAGGATTATTACCACACGAACCAACTTCAAACACTAGTTTTGAAGCCAAACCTGCAGATTTTCTTGAGGATGATATTTTTGACAGTATTGAACTAAATGAAGTCTGCAAAACAATAGAAAATTTTGAATCTGCAGAAAAAAATGTAAAAATAACCAGTGGAAAATGCCACATTTTTCCATTCTTCCACAAGGTTCTATTGGAAATGTTACAATTAACATTTATAACTCTGAAAAATAAGATTATTGTTATATATGTGTTGAATTTTTCACATCACTTTATTTTTTCACTGTGATACAAATTTTGTAAATGCACTGTGATACATTTTTTAAAATTTTTAATTCAAATGTTTTTTTTTTGTTGAAAATATTAAACATCATTTAATATATCCCTTCTTTTTTCTCCAGCTTGAAAATATGTGATAAATAGATTATTACATGTCATTTTCCATATTGACCCTGGTATCAGCCCTCGACCCATATCAAGCCCTCGGGCTTAAGCCCTCTGGCTTGATATGGGAGTCTAGGGCTGATACCAGGGCCAATATGGAAAATGCCATGTAATAATCTATAAATACAAAACATGGATAGACAACAGAGAACAATAGTATAATACCATGACATGTAAAATTATGAGACTAAATGAGATCCAATATTCCATGCAGTTTTTACATACTTACATAATTTGATAGTAAGAGACTTACTAGACGCTTGTAGTATATACAAAAATATGGGATTATTAGGCCAAGAACAATAATACTTTGGTAAAAATCATGTTCGTACAGATCTAACTGCTGGAAAAACAAGAACAAACTGGTATTCATCATCAATAACACACATTTTACAACATTCACATAAACGATTTTATTGTAACGACCAACTTCAATGTTCCACAACGTAACTTTGTTAAAGGGGCACTAGCTGTCAAATTCATGTTCACCGATTTGACTCAAATTCTCTTATTTGATTTATAACAATATAAAACATTTATCCAAATTATAAAAAGTCTAAAATAAACAATATACCGGGCATGGGATCGATAATATGTAGCTTCGTTTCGTGTGTATTTTAGTCTAGACGCCATCTAATTAACTGTCGAGTTGTCCTCCGAAGACCTCCGATTGCCATATAAGCGATATAAACATAAATATAGATATAAATAGATACCAGACTCGTGCATTTGGATTTTTCTAGGTCTGTTTAATATCATAATATAGATTAAAAATATATGTTAATAATCGTTTTTACCTGTATAAGAATGATCTTTTGTTGATCAAATCAGTCAATCAAATGATTTACCTTTGTTTCACTCTCAATGTTGACATTCTTTTTCATTAAATAATTGAACACACACAATGCACGCGGACGCCATCTCTAGCTAAGGGTTAAATTGAAGTTCACATGAATACGGCTTCAATGAGGTCGAATTATTCACTTGCAAGTGAATAATTCATCATCAATATTTCTTAGCTTATTTTGACAAAATTGAACCATACTGGCTGCTAAAAGCGATATTTTATTTCACTCAGTCTATTTCACTTTCATTAATGATTGAACAAAAAAAAAATCTTTTATTTTATATTTTTTATATATCTCGTAGCTAGTGCCCCTTTAACAGACAAACATTATTGTTATAAGTAAGATAGTTTTCAATACAAAAAGATATCACGTATATTTGAAGCCCAGTTAACCTAACCATTGTTAGCATCGTCATACAAGAGTTTATACACATCGTATACAACTTTTGGTTTATTTGTAATAACATGCAACCAATATTTCAATATTTTCTGCTTTCTAACAATAAAAAGAGGTAAATGGCCAAGTTCGCCATATAAAAAACATGTTGGTACATTTCTACCCAATTTTAACACAAATCTACAAAAACGGTTATGGATAAGTTCGATATCTTTAGCACGATCATGGAAACCCCATATTTCTGACGCATAGCCTAAGACGGATCCAACCGTACTGTCGAAAAGAAACATCAGATTATTCTGTTCTCTGGAGTAACAAAGAATTGTTTAAGAGAGTTCATTAAAGACGACATAGATCTAGATCCTTGTTGTGCTAAACATTTTAGAGTATGTAAAAACTTTCCGTTGTAGTGTAATAATATTCCCAGGTACACATATGAATTAACAACTTGTAGTTCATTATGATAATAGAAAAAAAATGAGTGTCTACTGGTCTAAATCCATTTCTAAATACCACTACTTTGTTTCATCAGGGTTTACTTCGATATTCCATTTATTGCAGTAAAGTAAACGTTTATCAAATAAGTGTTGCAGAACAGTCGGTGTTTTCCAAATTAAACGGTATCGTCAGCAAAAAGAATAAGAATACGACATCTTCGTCTTCATCTGTGGAGATATCTATATATACATGAACTCTCGTTTTAAATTGATTATTTCTCATTTTAGTTTCAAGTTGAATATTTCTTGTTTTAAATGTTTCTTTATTCTTAAATATAATGTTTCTTTATTTCAAATACTCAAAGAGATTATAGATTTACTATTTTACAACTTAATCCGATGGCAGTTAAAAGTGCGAAAGATAATACATGTATCTTACACTCGAACTACAAAAGAAGAAATTATCGCTATTTTGCTAAGTTTAGCCGGAGGACAATAATCCAATTATTATTACATAAGATTGGACAATAATATATATTTTATGAGAACCTTTTATAATGTTTTAATCGAGAGTTAATATATATATATTCAATTCAAAACGAGGGTTCATATAAATATTCAATTCAAAACGAGAGTTCATATATAGCACTTTGCAAATTAAAGTAAAAGTTCCTAACGTCACTTTTCTTCCGGTTATAATAATATCTAACTTATCGTTTTTATTATTGAAAGCTTTTCTTCATCTACAAGTGTTGATTTTGCAAAAGGCGCAAACAACGTGTTAAAATAAGCCATGTGACTTATTTGAAAATTTAGCTGACCTTTGTTGCTGTTTAAAGAGTTCAATCATTTAACTTGTGTGAAGATCGTTTCCCCGTCAAAGAGTTATTCAAATGGTTCTTAAACGTGTAGATAGCGTGAAACTCTCACTACAGGAGGCATCGGATATACGACATTTCTATTTCATTTCGACCGGACGTTGCTGCGTATTTATACATCCGAACAGCCAAACGGACGCACCCCTTTAGCAAGGGTTTACTGTCGAGGGGGGGGGGATTTCCAGAGATGTCGAGATTTATATACCCAAGTTAACCCTTTGTGTTTGAATAAAAGGAGATTAGGGTATGCATAAATGCGATAGCAACCCAACGAAACAGACAAATAAAAACTTTTAGAGTCAACAAACACTCTTTTGTAATAGAAAGATGTTTATACAGAATAATAAGCCCCATACGGAGTTGATATGATATTATTTACCGTCAAAGATATCCCAGCAGGCACATGAATATTTTGTGAGGTTGAAAAATAGCACCTTCTCTTTTTTGAATGTCGATCGGGGAAATCTAAGCAGGTGTAATATAAACCATTAGAAGAAAAAAACTTCACAATTCATATAGTAAAGTTAGAATAAATGATGATAATGGATGGCTGCTTAACGTACAGCGGCAAATTAAATGATTTTGCAGGACGAGAACATGTAAATATAATATGAATATAAACTCTGCTTTGTACTAGACCGACACGCTGAGACTAAATTGTTTAAGATGTTAGTTCACAAGGTAACAGTTCGCAGGAAGAAAAGTTACCCTACTTGGACACATTTCTGACTCAGAGCCGATCAGTCTTTGCTCTAACTCCTAGATGCCGCGTGTTTAGCGTTGAAACAACAAATAACAATTTAAACGTCTTTGTTTGACCCGGTCGAGGATTCAATCAACGAGGCGAATACGCTCCAAAGAAACCAACCAGGCGGTCGGTAGTATAGAGTATCATACAAAAAAAACTTAAGTAAAATGAACAATGCAGTTTCATAGAATTCTCACAGTTATCAAAGCGAGCTAAAAGTATCTAACCTAAATTAGATACGTTAAATGATATTATTTGAAACTACACGTAAATGTCGATGGCCGACTTCCGAATAGATTTTATGCATCAACGCTCTCTGCAAATTTAAAGATCTTGTTACAATCACTACAAACCAGTAAAAGTCTGAAATGAAATTGAGAATGGAAATGGGGAATGTGTCAAAGAGACAACAACCCGACCATAGAGGCCTATATCTGTACTCGACTGTGCTGATTTTTACTCGACCAGTCTGAATTGGTCTGAATTTTACTGGATATTACTTGACCCTAATCTCGACTGTACTGATTTGTACTTGACCCTTATCGTTGCCATTGAAAATAGTCTGAACTATTACTCGACCAGTCTGAAACAGTCTTAACCCATTCTCGACCTGTACTCGACCAACACTTGACCAGTTCTCGACTAATTTCCAGTCTGAACCATACTCGACTAAAGATCTGAACAATACTCGACCAGTCTGAACCATACTTGACCAAATGACCTCTACTTTTTTTATTTTAACTGTTTAAATAACTTTTAAACTGACATGGCAACGGCCACAATAAAATAAAGATGTGTAACATTTTTATATGTTAGGTCAAGTGTGTTATCTGATTGTATCAGGTTTACGTACATCTGTATTTTCACACATAGCCATTTAATACAATTAGATCATCAGAGATTATATTAATTAGGAGTTATATTTAGATTTCTTTGTTTGACTTGTGAGCCCTAATGATTTGCATATGGTGGCCTAGTAAATTTATGTAAGGAGCACGGAACACAAGGAGCCCGGATCACCGGAGCACCCGGATTACCGGAGCACCCGGACTGCCGGAGCACGGACTACACGAAGCCCGGTTGCCCTAGTAGTCTATATTTGTATACGGGCTTGTAGGAGTCATATAATAGAGAGAAAGAGTGTGAGATAAGGAGGGGAGAGAATTTATAGTGAGGAGAGGACAGTTGCGTTTATATAGCAGAGAGGATAGCCGTATTGTTGAGCCTGAAGTTAGATGTACATTTTGTTATACTTGTATAATGTGATTTTGATAATACAGTATTGAACTTTTATTCGACTGCGTGTTTATGTTCACTTACAAGACTTCGTTCAGACTGCACCAGGATCCATTTATTTATTTATGTGACCAGGATTCCCTTAATTACGCTACCAGTAGATTCCAAGGGTAACCCTGTCAAAGAGTATACTTGGCATTTGTCGTCCGTGTACGAGTGAAAGGCACGACCTGAAACTTATACACCCAACAACACAGCACAAACACACGGATACACACTTTGGTACAAGTACCATACTAATCTTTTTCGTCACAT